GTATTATATGTATTGTGTACCTACAGTAAGATCACTGACCTGGGCCGCGTGACCGCGGCGGGGGCACTGACCTCGGTCGCGTGACCGCGGCGGGGGCACTGACCTCGGTCGCGTGACCGCGGCGGGGGCACTGATCTCGGCCGCGCGATCGCGGCGGGATCACCGACTTTGGTCACGTGATTGTGGTATATATATATCTATATATAATACAATACAATATATCTATATATAATACGGCATATATATCTATATATAATATATATAATATTTTCTTTTTTACTCTTTTTTTGTCACGTGTTGTTTTTCCATTCTCCCTTTTTTTCTTTTATTTTCCGAGTTTGATTTTCATGCGTTATGATATCTCTCATGTGTAAATCATGTGTATTATATTGTTTGTAAGACGTATATAGCAGCTGTCGTTGCGGTGACAAGTTAAGTTCTCTGACGCTACACGGTAAAATAGAAACAATAATAGCGCGCGCCTCTGTTGTGCTAGTTATGTAAATTGCAACTGCAAGTAATGTAATTACGCGTTACAAAAAACCTTTTGCGCGCACATCTAGCCTTGTTATTTTTCCTTTAGAACAGTGCCTTCCAACTGATCACGTAACTGCATAGAAATCTTATGGCGCAAACCGCACATCGTGCGTGAGAAGACTCTGCTTTAGAAGACACACAGTAGTTGTAACTGCGATTATATTACAAGACGTGTGTGAGATGACGTAAATCGCGGCTGACGAGCGCTGCCACATCGCGAAACATAGCAAATAGCAAACGTTAAAGCGCTTTAGGGGTCGATGCTCTAGGGTCTGAGCCTTCAGGGTCAGTTTTAATCTTCCTCCCGAACTGTATATTGCTGCTTCCACACCAGAAGTTCCCAAGTGGCAAAATCCGTGACCGCCGCACACGCTCCTTCCCCAAGTCCTGCCCCAATTTACGATAACCGCAGTGGCTTTAATGCTGTTGGGTTATATCGGTGCAAATTTGGATTGTGGCAATGACAGGGCAATTACGGGGACCGATTTAGACCACGGCATATATCAAAATTGAACGCCTCTCCCTTTGATCTGAAATTCGGGGTCGGTCAGTTGTCGGCCGAAATAATCGTCCTTGTGGATGTTGTACGCACTGAGAATCTCTCATTCACATTTCAATGCGCCTAATTATTAAGTAATTAATTAGTCAGTTGTTTATGATCTCTGTCGCAAATTACAAGTACAAATAATGATCGCGAATGTAATAAAAACACAATCGCGAGGATCAACGAGATCCTTATTAGATCTCTCGTGAAAAGTTCATCTTCTTCAATAAGTAAGTCTCGTAAGAGGAAGTGAAATGAACTTCCGATATATATATATAATAGATTTTCACACGCTTATACTCTTTAAACTTCGAGAAGATCGGATAAATAGCTTATCTCCCTTTGCACACCCCGTCTCTCTATTTGGTTTCTTGTCAACCGTGGCGCGCGCTCCGTCAGAGTCACTGACGCCGCGAAAGCGGGGAAATTGAAATCGATGAAACGTGAAAGGAAGGCTTTGCGGGTTTTACTTACATCGAAATATCGAAACTTGGAGTCGAAATGTGTGATTACGGATTAGAGAAAGCCGAGAAGTTCACATCTTGTTTTTCCGTGTTGAAATAAGAGCTCGCCGACTACAAAGTTCGTTGCAGTATCGGATCGAGTCTCGTTTCTGTTGTCGCGTATATCTCGTCGTTATCGCAGCAGCACTGGTTGGTCGTCTCGCAAAAAAACAACTTAAACAGTTTGAATATCCAATTTAAGCAAAACGACGATTTTGTCACTTTCGCGCTCTTTTTCCGCGACACTTCGCGTTGTTTCGCGCGAAGTCTGAAACACACTCTCCATTTTCGCTGACTGCGCGTTTCACGTTGAATACTAATAAGCGTATGACGAGAATGCTCTTTTACTCAAGTGCACGTGGGGTTGTGCTTCAGCTCTCTCAACGAGAAACTCTTTCAACGTCGGTCGCTCTCCGTAATTTAACGTGGAGATTCACGTGACTGGCAACGCGAGAGGCGAGGGTGTTCCGAGAGGAACAATCGTCGCAGCTGTAAAAGTATCTTTGGGCGAAGTAATCTACTCCCGGGCGTGTACTACTGATTGTTGTTGCTCGTTTCAAAGTCAACTCGGCGAAAGGGAGTCGCAGAAGCGACACACATAGAGATGATACGAGAGAACGTCACCGGGCGTGGAAAATGTTGAAAACTGTTTCGCTCGCTGCATTTTCTGATTCAATTAAATCGAGCAGCGGTTAAAGCGGCGCGCGCTACTTGAGCTTGCTTTTCACACGTAATATAACTGAATTAATTTCGATTTTTTTGACATCATTATTTCACAATTCATTCTAGTCGGTACTTTAAAGACAAAAATTTGACAGATCTTTCAGAAGTGCCGATCATTGAATGTTTTACTCTATTGCATGTGTAAGACGATCTCATATACGATTGATGTAATCGTACGTAACCAGATATAGAATTCCGTACGCGATGATCTCTTTTTCCGTGTAATTGCATTTTTCAAGAGTTTGCAAAAAGATAAAAGCGAACGAACATGGGAATAATAATGTAAAAGCGAGTTGTCACCTTCAATTAAAAAAACAAGATAAAAGTTGAGACAAAAAAAATGACGGCGTTATTAAGAGAATATCAACAAAATAAAATAATGCAAATTGCATACGGCGCAGCTTTGTTACGTATATTTAAATGTATTCAATTACGACGTAAAATTGTAGAGACCAAAAGAGAAAGAGAGAGAGGTTGTACAAGGAGTTTTCAGCGGCGCAATTTCTCCGGAGAGATAGCGTTTTCCATTATTTATAGTTATCCAGCGGCTGAGATGATAAGAAACCGACGATGGAAGACACGGCCGCGGACGGTTCTTAAGAATCAGTATGATTTTTTCATTTTCGCACCGAAGGCGAAGTTAATTGTGACTCCCGGTCGGGATTAATGGCGGGACGTGAAAGTCGTTTCTGTTAGATAAGGAGACCGCCAGGATGGAGATAAATAGTATCACGGCAACGCTCGGTAGAGAGTGATTCAGACGTTTCGGGACAGAGTAAAAATATCAGAAAGAAAGTTAAAACCGAGCTGAAAAGAGAGATCTCCGTGAAACGCGCGAAGTCTTCTTATCACGACTTTTATTTTTCTTGCCCGAGAAACAAGAAAGAGAGCGAATCTAATCACACAAATTCACAAAAAGATTCCACTTAAAAGATTGACACATCAGTGTCCGACTGTAATAGAGAATATTTGTATAAAAAAATAAATTTAAATAAATAAGCTCGTGAAAATTTCAACAACAAATGAAGGGCCAGCCAATGCGAGCCGATCATTTAATATGAATTTCCATTCAATTCGTTGATTAAACGACTATTGGGTTTTTACGCGTCACTAAATCACTCTGTGGTACTTTTTTGGTATCGTAATTAAATGCTAATTGCACAAGACTTGAAGTTCTGTACGAGAGACAAGAATTGTAGGACGAATAGGCGAAATATCGTCCAACAAACGGGACAATTCCCTAGCAGGGACACGATACAAGTTCGCGCGCTATCTGATGCGAGTTTTGCACGCGAGTCGGCGAACAGTTTCACCTTGCGCGAGTTCTATCTGCCTGTTGTAAAGTCACTCGTAGATCTTCGCGAGTTGTCATAAATTTCTAAGGCGGCACACAGTTCGCTTGATAAGATAAATGATCAACTGCAAACACACACAATCAAAATTTAATGTGTGTTCGCGAGAAAATGGTATAAAAAGTGTTCAAAAAGCTCGTGGCGCTTTCTTTGAAGAAAAAACAAATGATAAACACAAAAATAATGAAGCAAATGTAACGGTCATTACTTTTAGAGGACCATTTGTCTTTTCGTAAAGCTCATTCTTATATAAATGTATATTAACGTCGACTGTTATTATACACAATGCGCGAGATACGACCTCACTTTTTTTTGTCTCTTTGCAGATTTAATATCGCGATACAAATATCTACAAAAATTTACACAGCTGTCATTGTAGTACGACAGATATTTATATAAACGACCTCGTTTTATTATTATCTATTGTAGAGATTTCGCAGTTTTTATACCGCATAAAAATTTTACACATTTATATACGTGTCAGGTCCTACGTAAGAATTGCTACACGCTTCTGATTAATTGAAATACACGGTACATATTAATACAGTGTTTATATTATGATAAGACGTCATGTATAACCATGTGATTGTCTATGCATCTATTTGCATTAGATTTTCTTAAGCAAATTTAACAGTTTGCTCTGAGTTACGAACTTCACCCACAAACTCATCACGACTATAGTGCCAAACTTCGAGAACGTATCTGAATATTTCATGCATAATTCCATTCAGAAGTGATAAATTGATACATTAAAAAGTTTTTTACACATAAAAGTTCGACCAACCAGCAATATAGTAGCATTAAAATCGCATTAACATTTTTATTATCTCTCCAATATTTCTTTTTATTACTTTTCAGTGTTTTAATTATACTCCGTTAATATCACGCTTATGTTGACATTGCATGCAGACTTACGATATTGCACAAATAAATTAAAAATAAATATCATTTATCGTTTGCCGATAGAAATTGTATTTTACAAGAAAATTTGATTAGTAGCGACATCTCGTGTGTGACACATCATTGATAATAAAAAAATATATTCAATAATGAAAAAAACAATTCCATGAGTTTTGCAATAATTCTTTGTGCACCACTTTATATAGTTTTGTCGATAAATCCTTTTCACAAAAAATTAAGATCATAAAGTTACACGATCCACACATTACAAATGTTACAAGAGTTATCAACTGACGATAAGTCACGGCGTTTATTCCTTAAGATTATCGTAGGTGGATTATGTTAGTTTTTTATATTAGTACACGATAAAGAAGCAGTTTAAAATATTTAGTAAACAGAAAAATACATAACTAAAACAAAAAAATCCCATTGAATACGTACAATAGAGGTCTTCGTTATCTGATTCTCTGTGATTGCTTCCATCAGTCGTTTTTTTCATTCTACGCCAAACTATAAAAAGAGCAATGTTAAACATTAAAATAAGTTTTTAGAGTGCGTGTGTTCTTGTGTCATACGCGTTTTGAGGTTCTTTACCGTTTCTCACAAATTTTCTAATGCTAGGTCTTTCTTTCTTTCTACTTCGAATGTCATCCCTTTGCCCAGAGTTGTGTACGTCCTCTTCCATGGTACCTGAGATAAAACAACAAACGAGAAAAAAACAAATATATTTTGTGTCGACACAACATACAAAATACAAATGACTGATAATAAATGACTTTTCGAAAATCAAAAAAGATGAGAGAAGAGCGGGAGAAGTTTCTATACTCGTTCTGCTATACTTCATCTCTTTCTGTACGTATGCACTTGCCGTGCATATATATCCAGAAGATATTTTTAGCGTAAGGCTTATACACATTGAATTAGCATCATGGACGCCGCAATTTCAAACGCTCGCTTTATCGCCGATGCACTAAGCATCGCGTGTGCACAGTTTCAAACTGTCATATCCAAAGTTCACGATAGAGAGAGAGAGAGAAAAAGAGAGAGAGAAAGAGAGAGAAAAAGAGAGAGAGAAAGAGAGAGAAAAAGAGAGAGAGAAAGAGAGAGAAAGAGAGAGAGAAAGAAGAGCAAGCTCTCGACGCGAAGTTTTTGCGACGTTCATAAATAAAACTAATAAGTAAGTTTTATTAAAAACGTGACGCGAAACTCGTCGCACGAAATAAATTTTGAACATTTTTCAAATACGTGTATTTTACTATGTCGGTGAATTAATCTGTCGCGTAGTTATTTGAAAAAAAAAACGCGAAAATGTTTTACACTCCTTGAAAACAATTTTAAAATATGAAGCGTTTTGTTTTACTTCCTTTTTTCTGAGTTTTACCAAACTTCACGAAAAACGCGCTGGTCGGAATCAAAAAAATCCGCTTTCAATTTTACAATTTTATTCGTACGTGCACGTCATTTTTATTCACGGTGCGTCAGGAAAAAATCATCATGTGAGCGCAGTAAACAGTAACGTTCTCGAAACTGACATAAGCTTCACACTCATTCGCGATCATTTATATTTTTGACAGAAACATACCGAGAGTCACGGGATCGCGTGGATCACTAGTATCGAAACGGCAGCGGTTTGTTAGTCGTCGCCTCTCGCGAAACACGCGCAACAGACTCCCATCGCATCAGTCAAACTACAATAATCTCGCGTGTCGTAGGCGGTTGGTAAGATAACCGAAGGCTATTCGCGAGTCACTTCGAAACGGGCGGCCAAGTGGCCGGCAGATCGTTGGCTGGCCAGGAGCCAGATCGTCCTACGCGATTCCGCATTTTTTCTCGCTAGACGAGAGGTCAGAGCACTCAGGGTCTCTACCCCCCGCGTATACATCCTCATCGATTCCAATTGTCGGGTGACGCGTGATTTCCGCACGAGCACAAAAAGAAAAAAACGAGACTTCGATCGCAAATGTAGCGTCCGTTAGAAAAGATAGCCCACGCGAAAAGCAAGCTGTGCAAGGTTTATCTTTTTCACAGAGATAATCGCATTGTTGCATGGTTTGCCAAGCAAAGTTTCACCTCGGTAATTCTATTTTGCATTATTTCGAAATGAACATTAAACGGCTATAAACTATTCGGTGACACTAGAAACTGCGGCGCGCATTTACGTGTGTGCGCGAGAGTATGTGCTCGCTCGTAAATTAACCTTCTGATTTTAATAGATACAGAACGCACACAAATAATTTCACGTGCGAATAAATCACGCGCGCGATACCAGTGTGAAATAACTTGGCGAAAAAAAAAAACTCATTAATCATGTCGAAACTTGGTGAAAGAATCAATGTGAAAAATTCTGCTGCAATAAATATATATAAAAATTCCTTCTCAGCGAATATATTCTCCGCTCGAACGAATATACTCCATTAAACCGCCGTTATACTTACAAACGACAGAGGACAGAACGACGGGCGGCAAGCGACAGAAAATGTCTTTTGTAAACGCATTATTTTTGCATTCTGTTTTGAATATTATTATAAGCACAATAGTAAATGTAATAATAATAATAACATAACAATATTTTACAAAATATAAAAATAACAAAAATAATGCGTTACAACTACAAAAGGCATTTTCTACTTATTACGTGTATTAGTTTAATTATTTTTTAAGTATATTATATATTTTATATTAGTACTGAAAAAACATCTTCTGTTTGCTTTTCTTGCCCCCGTGGGAATACGGGGTATATATCGCGGACATTCGGCGACGCGGCAAAAACAATCTTGTTGCTAAGCAACACTTAACTGTACAGCCGCTTTGAGCCCTCGTCGCTTTACGCGAGGCGGCGGTTTCCAGATAGTAACTGTCGCCGGAGCGCAATCATCGGTCGGCCTACAAGGAAGGCGTTTTAATACCCTTTAGAGCGACCGGCGGCGGTGAGCACCACGCAAGAAAGTCTGCGATGTGTGTGCACAGTTAGACCTACCGGTGGTCTTCTCGTGCTGAGAAATTTATATGGCGGCCGCGACAATCGCTCTCAGCCACCCCGCGCACATGTCCGTTCGTCATCGGATGCTGCGCTAATTGGACCACCGGCTAGTGCCAACGGACTTTGTTGTTGACACTCCTCTTTAAACGCGTATAGTGTCGATTGCTCATGTTTTTTTTATTATTTGCACTAGCGTGTCATATGTAATTAATTTTCAGCTCCCAGATCTGTTTTTTTTGTCTCATTTAATTAAGGTGATATATTACCAAGTTATATTCTTTTTTCGCTCCTAATATCTCTCCGAACATCTCAAAAATTTTAACAGTAGCTTGTTAAAAGAAAAGAGACGCAGAAGATGGGCTTTTACCCATAATATACCCGTGTGTTATTCTCGAAACGAATATCCCATTGAGACCACGCATTTCATGGTCTCCGCGTGTTCGGCTCGCAATTTCGCGCCATTCAGGTGTGTTTGCTTTTCTGTCTGAGATATCGCGTGCATCTTCGCACCGAGAAAATTGTCTCGGTTTTTGTCAGCGCGCGTATAAAGTGCACACGCTCATTTAATAATAAAAGGCAGACCACTCGACCTCAAATCAAGTGTCAAAATCAGATAGCGATCGAAAAATCGTCGGACAATAATAATGTGGAACTATATTCATCGCGGTATTTTATTTCACTCCAATTACTACTCGTGTCTTTCTTATATATGTCTCTGGAATACGGTTTATCTGTACTTATCGTTTTCTCTTGTCATTTTTTCTTCTTTCGACTCTTTGATCCAAAACGCAAAGACGTTCATTTAACAGAACGTCGGAGTGACAGTCGAAGTTGCAAGCCGGAATTGCGCTCTCTTTGAGAAGAAAAAAAACAGTAGCGATTATATATTATTTTATCGACAAGTTTCGGACGGTTTTCGTTTATGCGCGCGATGATCAGGGAACGAGCGATCCAAAACGTTGTGTTTTCTCGCTTCTCATTTATTTCACTGACAAGTGAAATTCTTTTGACATAATTCTCTTTTATCCTGTAAGAGCGGTAAATTAATGCTCTTTAACTAAATTAATTACACCAATGGTAATTACACTTAAAGCGCGCGCCAGTACATCTCGCACTAAACGGTGCCATCGCTTCTTGCGCGCGAATCTCCTCCTTCACATCTCTCCCTATTCATTGTCGTCATCGTCATCCTCTTCTTTCTCTCAACGTATCTCACTCGAACGCGATGCTGTTTGACGATAATCGCTGCCTCCATTGACTATCCGTAAGAGCGTGAAAAACACATGTTCGCACACAAACAAATATAATTGGGCGAGCATTTTTGCAGACGTAAAAGCGACACGCATACCACGGCCGTATTTGTCGTTCGAACTATCGCGGTGAAGATTCTATCGAATGTATCCACCGCCATTTGATACAATTTGATTTTTTTTTTTTTTTAAGGAACAGTAAATCGCACGCGATATTTAACGTATTTTTTTTCTATTTTTTATGTATTAGATTTATTCATATTTATTTGATAACGTTGAGATGTGAAAAGATATTGTACGAATTCTCGAATTAATTTGATAATAAAAAATCACAAACATTTTTTCTGAGTCACATACGAATAATTACAGGCGGTTTGAAAAGCAATTTTACGAGATAGTTATGTCGATCCATGTTCATTCAGTGTTTCTCCCGATGGAGAAATCCAAGCACGAAATCGATTTCTCAAGACCCCGAGGTATCAGAAAGAAAAGAAGAGCTATAGAGAGAAGAAAGATATCTCCCCTCCTCCCCCGCGCGATAAGAGCCGGGGAGAGAAACGAGAAGGAAAACGCTCGACGAGATGCGCGCGGAGCAACCTGGCGGGAGGGCCAGGCAAAGGGGGGCCCGTTTGTCGGACATACCTTGGGGCCACCCTGGCGTCTAATTGCGTGTAATGCACTCCCGGCTTGGCAGGCCTCGAGTTACCGCCAGAGGAGATCCGAACGAAAAACTCGGGTCGCGTTGCAGCAAAACCCCCGGACAAACGCGGGGACGCGGTGCTATGTCCGGAACGCTCGGACCCACACGACGACGCGGAGAACCGTCCTCCAGGACGTCGATCCCCCCCCTCCCCCTCGTTTTGCGATCCATCGTGTGCGGGGTCGCGTCCTTTCCGGCTCGGAGTTCGCGTCCTCCGCGATTCCTCTCTCCCCGCGGAATGTCACCGCCTGCCTTCTGACCGCTAAAATGAAGACGTGTTTCTTCACCGCGCCGAGAGCCGTCTTCCGCTCGGACGAAACCCTATCTGCCGTGAATTCTGCAGCTAAATACTTAAAAAAAAAAAAAAAACAAAAGAAAGAACACGATTGACACAAGAAAATAACCGGAGACATATTGACACGAAGTGTGTCTATCGAAATTGCAAAGAGCAAAGTGTTCTACTACTGTCACTGCTCTCTTTCTCTCTCTCTCTCTCTCTTTCTCGATATTCTTCTTCAGAATAGTTCTGTAAAACGGACGTCTTTTACGAGGATCCGAGGAGAAGTTAAAGAGAAATCGTCCGAATCCCGGAGCAGAGAGGCGGCAATCGTCTCCAATGTGAGAGGGAGAGACGGTCTTCGTCCGGTGGAACGAGAACCACGAGAACGCGATTATTTAGCGTACAGCTAAGATCTGTCGGTGCTGGGTTTTTTGTCGCGCGGGAGCTTATTATGAATAATGATTTATATCTCGTCTGCGC